GGAGCGCCCACACCGGAAGTTGGCTTCGCGGCGCGCAGTGACGTCAGCGGAAAGACCAGAGGACGTGCTTGCGGAGCAGGGGGAGGGCGATTTGTGTGGCGTCACATTTGTCTCTCTCTCTGTGACGTCAAGTAATTTGTCTTTGGACCGCTCTGTGGTGTGACGTGGTGCTAGACTGTGAGGTCAGCCTTCCCCGTGACGTCACAGGATGAAAGTCTTTCTCAACGTTAGATCTGTGCTGTCTGGTGATGTCCGCTCTCTGGGGGAGGTCAGGTGTCTCCTGTGATGTCACAGGGTGAAAGGTGGCTGAGGGAAGGCAGTGTCATGCAAGGACGTCAGATCCGTGAGGTCAGCTCTCTGGGATGTCACATGACAGCTGATGTTTCTTGTGATGTCAGCTCTCTCTGTGATGTCATAGGACAAAAGTTCTGTCAGAAGAGGCAGCTTTCTCTGCAGTGTCCTGTGACATCATATCTCTAGTGTCAGCTCTCTGGGATGTCCCATGATGTCAGGTGTCTCTTGTGATGTCAGCTCTCCTTGTGATGTCATAGGATGAAAGAAAGGTCTCTTGGGGAAGGCCACTTTCTCCGCGGTGTCACGTGGCGTCAGATCTGTTATGTCCTATGCCATCAGCTGTTGGGTATCACGTGACATCAAATGTTTCTTGGGATGTCAGCTCTCTCTGCGATGCCATATGACATCAGCTCTGGGATGTCACACGGCATCGGGTCTCTGCTATGTCCTATGTGCTCAGCTCTCAGCCCAATGTCAGATTCCCATATCATCTGTGACATTGTGCCGTTCGCATGTGATGTCAGCCCTCTCTGTGACATCACATGGTGTCGGGTCTGTCCACTCTGCTTTCTGCTCCCCACCCTGTGCTCCCTACCCCTTCCACTGCTCCGTTTTCTGCTCCGTGCCCTGTTCTCCCTTCCCCATCAGCTGCTCTGCTGTGTGCTTCCTGCCCTGTGCTCCCTGTCCCATCCACTGCTCTGCTATCAGGTCCTTGCCCCATCGGCTGCTCTGCTTTCCACTCCCTGCCCTGCGCTCCCTGCTCCACGCGCTGCTCTACTTTCTGTTCCCTGCCCTACGCCCCCTGCCGCTTCCACTGCTCTGCTTTCTGCTCCCTGCCCTGTGCTCCCTACCCCATCGGCTGCTCTGCCAACGTAGGAGTTGACGCCATTTGTCCACCGTGTAGTGAGCATGTTTGTTATTGCCCTGAAATAGAATAGTTTTCTGATAGCATACTGTTAGGTTAACAATCATTTGGATTATTAAGAAGTATTAGCTTTGCAGCCGAATACAAGGCATGACCTGTGGCCTAGCAATGCCGCTGACCACAAGGCAGAATGATAGCTAAGCCTTTGCTTGTGTCAAGTAATCATTTTAAATGTGTTAAGCATTTTCTAAGTAAAATGCAGCAAGTGAATCTGTCTGTGTGCTGGAAAATCAGATACAGCAAGGAGCAAGACAAAAAAGCCATTGTTCTAAGTACAGTGATCGTGTCCTTAAAAAGTATCTACCACTGCAAATTCTTGCTAACGTATCATAATGTTACTGTTACTTAACTTTTAGCTTTTAAAAAATGCTAGTTCATCTTAATAAAAATATGCTGTTATAAAGATTTGTGAAGCACCGCCCAAGTATTGCTTTTATTAACCCTGTAGTCTTGCCTTGTTATAAAAAGTATAAAAACTCGCCCCACCCTTTAGGGGGGGGATTTTGCCTTTTGCTGGCTTTATGGTCTTTGCTCGAACAAATAAACAGCTGTCAATTCTTTACCCGTGTTGTCTGATACCTATTACAGCTAAATAACAAACTTTAGGGAGTTTTCTCCCACCACATAAGCAAGGCAGGGTAGGGTTAAGGGATGAGATGTCATGTGCCCATACTTCTACACCACTACCGAGTCTGGGCAGCTCTTTGAATAGCTCCTGCTAAAGTGGAGCCCAGTCAAAGACTTGCAATGATTGGCCCAATATGCAGCAGAGCGCCAGGCCAAGAGTTGCATAATATAGCCAGGGAGAAAGTCCAGCTGTTGGCTTCTGTGATCCAAACATCATTGCTACATTCCCCAAATGATCTTCCAGATAATCCGTTGAGACCACCCCCCCCAGGCTTGAGCATGCAAAATAATAACCTAAGCCTGATTCCCCTTTAATTAATTATCCAACAGCATGAGATCACTATTCCAGGGAAGAGTTCGGGATCCCCAAAGAGCAGTGCCCTCCGACTGACTGAAGAGAGTTCAGTTGAAATCTGAGAGCAGATTTAGGCTGGACATTAGAAAGAACTTCTTCACAGTTAGGGTTGCCAGAATCCGGAATGGGCTTCCAAGGGAGGTGGTGCTCTCCCCTATCTTCAAGAGGAGATTGGACATGCACCTAGTTGGGGTCGTCTGACCCCAGCACTCTTT